ACTGGGAAAGCGAGGGCGTGACTGGCAGCGGGGAAGAGAAAGCACAGATGGACATCAGCAGAGAGCGCGTAGAGACTGTTGGCTGTACTACAAGCTCTGTCTGTACTGGGTACCCACTGCAGTCTTTGCGCCAGATGCTGTTTCTACTTCTAGAACCCACTCTGAGTTAAGCATTCTAGTTATACCAGCATTCACTTATATCCCAACAGCAATATTAACAGATGAAATAGTAAAGCATTTTCAATAAAACATGTATAGAGTCATTAGGTTTGTTTACATGCGCTAGTTTTTGTCAATCCGAACAAATCCAATCCGATTCCAGATTCTGAATGTTCAGTTTATGAGTACCCTAAACTTTGCATTCTGATTCACATATTCATGTGCATTATATTATAGTTATATTACAGTTAACTAAAATGAAAACAATTTAAAAAAAGTTACTTGAAATAAAATCTCTGTTTTTTTCTATGTTTTATGTTTAACTATTTTTCTCTTAATTTAGTTTACACTGATGTACTAAAACTGTAATAAAAATTAAGACTATGTAGACTATTAAAAATAACTACTAAAAATGACAAAAAATAACGAAATTCTTAAAACTTTAACTAAAATATAAAGTAAAAACTAATGTAAAATATTTAAACTAGTGCTGTCGAACGATTAATCGCAATTAATCGCATCCAAAATAAAAGTTTTTGTTTACATAATATATGTATGTGTGTTGTCTATTTATTATGTATATATAAACACACACACGCATGTATATATTTCAGAAAAAATGTTGTTTATATATTAAATATATTTATTTATAATATAAATTATATGAATATAAATAAAGACGTAAATACATGTAAATATTTTCAAAATATATACTGTATGTGTGTGTATTTATATATGCATAATAAATATACACAGAACACACACATATTATGCAAACAAAAACTTGTATGGTATGCGATTAATCGCGATTAATCGTTTGACAGCACTAATTTAAACTATAATAGTATGTCAGTGTTGCTAAAATAACACTAATTATAACTATTCTAAACAAAATTTCAGCATGTGTGCAATGATAGTTGCCACGTTCAGAAACAGGAAAGGCCACAGCGAGAATGTTACCAAAGCTACTGCTGCTAAAGCTAGCTGACATTTTTGCCTTGATGTGTCCAACTAAGAGAACTAAGTAGAAATTTCAGTTAAATCCCAATCAGAATGAAATTTCATTCGGATCGAGCTCAGTCGGATTTATTGAGGTGTTAACAAAGGTTTTTCAGTCTGACTGAGCGTCAGTCCGACTACAAACAGATTATCTCGCTATTTTTGTTAGACTTTGCTGACTGATACAACAGTCGTTATGGGCTTACACTGACACCTAGTGGCATAGATGCATCAGGGTTATAGTTTGTTATTATGGTTTAACATTGTTTTTATTTAGTTTTCCTTAATGATAACAACACAGGGGGATTATCAAGACAACATGACTAATATTCAGCTGATCATGTGATCTCAACATAGCGACTTTGATGAGTACTATTCATGTTTTAGGGGTACATATTTTTTAAATAAGTAAAGTATAACTGAATGCACCTTTAATATGTCTGTTAATGAGCAAAATATGTGCGGTGATGTGTAGTCACCTTAAACTCCAGCTCCATGGCTGTGACGGTCTCTCCAGGCGGTGGCTGGGTGAGCTTCTGGATGTGGGCGTAGAGGTTTCGGGCAGGGACCTCGGTGTTTCCACAGGTGGCGGCCTCCAGCAGGGCCTCGTGGATGAAGATGTACTGATCCTCTGTCTGCACCATGTAGTTCCTCTGGGCTCTCATGCATGTGACATGGCCATAAATGTCAACCGTCTTCTCGTGTTTCATCCGCTCCAGCATGGCGTCAATAACTATGAAGCAGCCTGTGCGGCCCACTCCAGCACTGAGATAGACAAACTGGTTACACTACAAACATATACTGAATACATAAAATCATATACTGAATGATCAATCAAATTAATTGGATATATAAATATTTCCATAATATTGCGTAGTTGTTTGGAGTATAATGCAATCATTCTGTTGAATATTCATTTGAAATACATTTTAAATCAATAATTATTTAAATAAATATCATTAATATAATATTGCATAGTTGTATGGAGTATAATGCAATTATTCTGTTTAATATTCATTTGAAATACATTTTAAATCAATAATTATTTAAATAAATATCATTAATGATTAACTGTTTTATATAAGTCAAATGTTTTAACTTGACAGCCTTAACTAAAACACAAAAGGTGGTAAATTACACATGAAACCTAAACTTTTCTACCAATTCCACCAAGCAAAGCTACAACTGTTCACTTTACAAGAGAGTTCTATAAGATCCGAACAAAGTGAAAAGGTCAGCAGTAAATGAAAGACTGGGGACCGGCACTAACCTGCAGTGCACTACCATGGGTCCAGCATCGGGAGGGTTGCAGGCTTTGACCCTGCGCAGGAAGGCTAGGATGGGGGTGGGGTATTCAGGCACTCCGTGGTCTGGCCAGGCCATGAACTGGAACTGCCTGACCTCGCGTTTCTCGCTAGAGCCATTCTGTTTCAACAAAGTGGGAGAAAGGAGCTTAAACTGGCTAAAAATTTGGAAACTTACTATATGAGAGGAAAAGGCAAGCAACTTTTTACCTTGTAAAGGGCAAAGGTGCGCACACTGTAAGTTGCCAACTCAACAGCATCAAGCATGGTCACTTGGATCATTCCGTAAGTCTCTGTGCCACGAACAGGCCAATACTGGTCACACTTGACCTGTTTAAGAGAACAAAAATGAAACAGTCAAATAGTGCTGGAGTAAATGCTGTCAGTCCCCTTGAAATGACAGAAACTTAAAATTGAAATAAATGTTTATTGTTATTTAAACAATATATACAGTATGTATATATATATATAGGGCTGGGCGATAAATCGATAATGATAATTATCGCACGATATAGATTTCCTCGATAAACGATAACAAGAGTTCAATAAATGTTTGATATAATGCGGCAAAGGCGGAACGAAAGAGCGCCAGCGCCACTCGGAGCGTTTATCCGCTCGGATCAAAGTTCAAACAGCGGCGCGGCGCGAGCTTCACTAGTAGGGATGGGCGATACCACATTTTTTTCATACGATACGATACCGCTACTTTTTGTTACAATTTTAACGATACCGATACTGCTTGTAATTTTAAATGTGTATGTGAAGGCCGTTTTTTCTTATTCTTCAACATTCTATTGTACTATCTCCATATTTTACAAAAGAATATTGATTAAATAACATAACAAATCTTAATAAAATAAACTAAAATACCAACAAAATAAACTGTGCATACTTTTACTTATTTCTTAATTTTGAACAGACCATTTTTTCCTCATCTTCAACTTGCCCTCAAATGTCCTCAGGAAGTCTAAATGTATTGGTATTACTATACTTGTGGTAACGTTTTGTCCCTATAACGTAAGGAATACCAGGACACCCACACAAACACACACACTTTATATTTATTCTTATTCGCCTAATGGTTACGAAAGAGACAGGGAGTACAGTAAATAAGTTAACTAATGACTGTGCTCTTTGTACTGGATAGGGTTTGCCTCCCTGAAAACTCTCCTGTAACGTCTTTTGTCGGACAGAGGGAGACTGTGCAGTTTGTTTTTGTTCAGCCTCTTTACGTTTCAGGGTTTGTTGTTTGTAAATGTTTAAAAAGGTTGCTTGTATTGTTGCTGTGTGTGACTCTCTTATCACAAATATTGCATCGTGCAATATTTTTTTCCGCTGTTGAGAAGTAGCACCACATCACGCTACGCTACGTTTCCTGCTTTCTGCCATTGTGCCAATTTGCGTGCAACCGTGAGATTGTGAATGGCACGTCGCACTGCGCAGCCGCAGACCGATCGGTGTGTAACGTCATACCACCGCGTCAGCGAGAGTTTTTTTTATATATATATATCATACACATACCGTCCCCGATCGGCCTGCATACACTGCTAAAAACATTTATTTATGCAGAAATTATTAATATAATTAAGTATCGATACTTTGCAGAAAATATCGATACCACAATAGTAGCCTCTGAGTATCGATATATCGATACTACAGCATCGATGTGCACATCCCTATTCACTAGAGCAGATGTGTTCTCTCACTGATGAGTTCTCTCACAGTGTGAAGCGCTTGAATTCAGCGAGGAACACAAATAACTCTGTTTACACGCAGATGAAACAGTGCTGACAAACAGCAGAAACACTGTGCTCAACGATACAGTCAGAAGACTTTTTATTCTACAAATTGCCATCATTTACCATGGATTTACTGTAGTAACACTAACTGCACCATGGTATTGTGTCAGAAATGTGGGTATTCGTGTTGAATTTTATTATATTATTAATGTAGACATTTATTAAATATATTGAAGGAGAAGTAATGGAATATAATTACAGTATTTTTTGTGATTAAGCTATAGCGTTTATGCATTTATAAATGTATTTAGACTACTGTTTCTCATAAATACCTACAAGTTAATAAATAAATAATTTTTACCATGGTATTGGGGTGCTATATTTGTGTTGTGTGTATTTAACTGTGATTATCATGATCTAAATGTATGTTATGGAAGACCAATGGTTAAAAAAAAAAACTTAAACAGTCAGAATAATTAAATTTCACCATATAAAAATGAGATTGCTACAATTTTTACAGATATTACTGATTTTGATAATGAACATAAATCTACATCTGCATCCTAACTCTATTTCTAAGAGACAAAATTTTTTAAATTAAAATGTAATTAATATTATCAGGCAACACAAACTTGTTTCTTGATTTGAAACAATATTACTCATTACTAGAACATGCAGAACTAAGAAATAAATTTTTTCTATTAAGATATTTATTTTGTTAAGGAAAAATGACTGGAGAAGTGTAAAGAATTCAAAAACGAAGTGTTTGTCATGTTCTGACCATAAAGAATAGTTGAAAACCACAATTAACCATCTGGTTTTTACAACTTTCACATTGGAGCAAAAATCTGCC